GCCCCGCCGCGCCCCCCTCAGCCCCGCCGAGCTCCCCGCCGCGGGCCGTGTCCCCGTGCTCCGGCCGTGTCGCAGCGAGGTGGCACCGCAGGGCCCGTGGGGGCTGTCAACAGAATCACAGAATCGTCAAGGTTGGAAGAGACCTCTAAGATGATAGCAAGTCCAGTCGTCCACCCAGCGCTGCCACTGGAACTGCTAAATCACATCACCCAGCCTCATAAACCCCTCCGGGAACGGTGACTCCAGCACCTCCCTGGGCAGCTGTTCCCATGCCTGACCACCCTGATGGTGATTTCTTTTTTTTTTTTTCTCTAGTGTCTAATCAGAATCTCAGCTGTCTCAGCTGGGCCATTTCCTCTGGTCCTCGCACTGCAGGCCCGACAGGAGGGACCGGCCCCACCCGGCTACAGCATCATCTCGGGGGTTGTAGAGAGCAATCAGGTCCCCCTGAGCCCCTCCAGGCTCAACCTCCAGCTCCCTCAACTGTTCCCCACATTTTCTAGACCCTACATGAGCCTTAYTGCCTTCTCTGAACATGCTCCCGCCCCTCAATGTCCTTTTAAAGAACAGAATGCAGCACTCAAGGTGCATCGTCACCAATGCTAACTACAAAGGGATGATCACTTCCCTAATCCGCCTATCCCCCTGTGGTTCCAGATTAATTGCACTTCTCATTCTCAGTGGGTAGCACATTTCTCATTCTGCCTGAACTTGACGCATTCTTGAGCTGTCCTGTGCACGAAGAGACCTCAATAATGAGTATAAATATCGGAAGGGAGACGCCAAGATGATGGAGCCAGGCTCTTTTCAGTGGTGCCARCCACTAGGATGAGATGCACAGGAAGTTCCAYCTGAATGTGAGGAAGAATTTSTTTACTGTGCAGGGATCAAGTACTGGAACAGATTGCCCCGAAAGGCTGTGGAGTCTCCCTTGCTGAAGATATCCCAGAACTGTCTGGATACAATGTGATGCCATGTTCTGAGATGGCCCTGCTGGAGCAGGGAAGTGGGACCAAATGCCCCGCAGAACTCCCTTCCAACCTGACCCATCCTGTGTGCGATTCTGTGCAGGGCCAGGAATTGGATTTGGATGATATTTGTGGATCCAATCCAGCTCAGGATATTCTATGAACTTCTGGCTTTCCTCTTAGCATGGGTGACCATTTTGCCTGTGTGTTCCTGTAAGGGGGCAGTGCCCAATGCCTGCCCATGACCCAGTGGGTTCCTTAGTCCTTAGAAGCTCCAAGGCTGCAAGAGGAGCAGGTGTTTGGAAGTTGCTGGATAACAACACCAACTGGAGTATTTTCATCCCGGCAGCAGGGAGTTCTCTGCAGAATGGGGCAGATGTGGGAGAATTAGGGTGGGAGAGAGCAGACAACAGTGGCTGGGCAGGACCCCASAGGTGTCACATTCCAGGAGGAGGGCGTTGTTCCTGGGGCATGAAAAAGCCACCCCTTGTCAAGGAAAGYGTGGCCTCTGATCTGCCCTACCCCCTGGGCCAGCTTTGGGATGACCTTCCTCAGGTGGACATGTCCTGGCTACTCTGCAGGGCCTGGCAAACCGTGAGCGTGCTGGGCCTGGCTCATACTGCCCTCAGCGTCTGGAGAAATGTGCAGAAAACCAGGGATGGGTGAGCAGTYGAGACCAGTCACACAGGAAGGGACAGGTTTGTGGGGTGCAGGTAAGCCCTGGCCCTRTCATTTCCAGGGACAGGGATGGCCAGCTTCACATTGCATGAGGACAGGGACAGCCAGGCAAAGTACACCTTCCTATGTTCCCAACTCTACGAGGGTCAKAACTGTGGTGACACTCAGGACCAAAACCATGGTGATGCTCAGGACCACCAGGCTTTTGCATCACCTTTACCTACAAGAGCTCCAGCACCAGCACTACCACAGGAAGGTGACAGAAAGAGTTGAGAAGTCCCTTGAGGAGGGACATGGCTCACAGCCATATTTCAAGCTCAGGAACTCAGGACAAGAAATAAAGCTGGCACCAGCTCCTCTCACAACTGAAGTGGGYGATGTAAAAATCTTTCCAATTCAYAGACTGGCTGAGGCTCCTGGGAGCYCAGTCTGTCCARGCCCATGCTCAGGTGGGGYTGCTTTGAACCAGTTGCCCACAAGCTTCTGCAGGTGGCTTTTAATATCTCCAGGAAAGAGACTCCATAACACCTCTGAACAAGCTGTGCCAGTTCTCCGTTGCTCTCCCAGCAGATGTTTCCTGATGTTCAGAGGGAAACCCCTTCCTTTTCAGGCTGTGCCCGTGTCCCACCACTGGCTCTGTCTTTTCACCCTCCCTCACACTATTTATATATATTAATAAATTCCCCCTCAGCCTCCTTCAGTCCGAACAATCCCACATTTTTGAATTTTTTCACATAGGAGAGATGTTCCAATCCCTTTGTCATCTTCATGACCCTTTGATGGACTCTCACCAATAGCCCCTGTACTGGACAGCCCAGAAGTGGGCACAGCATTCAGGTGTGGCCTCACCTGAGCAGCGGGGAAGGATTCCCCTAAAGCAGCCCATCAGCTCCCTGCTCTCTGGCTCCCAGRTAACCAGGACCCTCCCAGCCTTCCCTGTGCATTCCAGATGTCCCAGCATGTAGTGGTGCATGGGATCATTCTTCCCTTTCTAATTCCCTTTGCTGGACACAATGTTTCTGTCAGCCCATTTCTCCATCATGCAGATCTTCAGTGAAAATGTCAGATGGGCTGGACCCAGTCCCACGAATTACCGGGCTTTGGCCTGATCTCCTACCAGTGATTACCACACTTTTTGGGATCAGTCATTCTGCCAGTTTTCCATCTCCCTCTGGGTTTATCCTCAGGGTTTGTACATCAGCSCTGTGAGGACATTACAGCAGACCTTATCAAACACCTAACTCAAGCCAGGATACACAACCTGCCTTACTCTTCCCACATCTTCCAATCCAGTCACTTTTTCAGAGGGTTATCAGGTTGTTTAAACCTTTGCAGATCCACACTGACATCAAGTGTTTTGCCCCAAACTGATTTACCCCTTTGCTAAAAGCAGTCTGCCCCTTGCCTGAGACCCCACTGGTGCTACTGCCACTCTRTGGGGTCTTTTGATGAAACCCACTTGGACTGTGATCCCTTCAAGATACTGGGAAGGGCTGCACTGTCCCCGCTCTGCTGTTCTGAGAGCAGAGGGGTTTCACAAMAGCATCCCAAGCCACACATGCAAAGACTGGGTCTCAAGACATTTTGGGGTGCCTGTTTGTGGGGGAAGGGCAGACAGAAGGCCCTGCTCTGCACATCTCCAGTCCCTAGAACCCGTTTCCCAGCCCTACAGCGGCTGCCAACCCCTGGCACACCTGGCAATGCTCCATACCTGCCCCTGGAGCCCCTAAGCAGCTCCAGACTGACCAAATGACTGGAAAATCCACCTGGGGCAAGGGCCCAGGAAGGCTAAGCTAAACTCGAGGTGAGCACAGATCCTGACCCTAACTCCTTCTGGAGTTTCTATCAGATGAAACACCACTAGAACATAGGAAGGGGTAGTTAAATGTGTCCTTTCCTGTATCTTTTCTTTCCTTCCTCTTCCTCTAATTCCCTGCTCACAGAATTTCTGAGTAACTTAAAACAGAATGGGTCTAAAGTTTGTGAAGTTAAATGGGCCTCGTTAATGCTCTGGCRTTTTATATTGACTGAATGCTGCTCTAAACTTTTTGCCAAAGTTCTTGGATTTTCTAAATTTGTCAGTCTTTTTGGTTGTTTTGATCTCTTGAGAGCACATTTTTGGTATTGCTCCCGTGCATCTAACGAGTACGTGAACAACTGTCAGCCTTTTTAGAAGCCTTGGTGAGCAGCTTTTTTGGGGCTTTACAGTGGGAGGACCAGCCCAAATCCAGAGCTGCTGCCTTCTTCTTCACCAAAGCACTGATCTGTGCCAGCAGCTTTTCTCCAAGTCTGGCTTAGACTCTGAGAACTCAGACATTGGCCGAGTCTGCTTCCATCCTGGGACTGCAATCAGCACCATGCAGCACCAAACAGGAGACAACACCAGCATCCATTTATTCTGTCTTTATTCACTGGGGAGAGGAGGCCAGTATTTTATCTTGTCTTCTGCATGAGCCCTGAGAAGCCTCACCAGTTCTGCAGGGCTTTGGTCCCTCTTACCTACGGCCATACACAGGGTTAGCCAGTGCCAGCCCTTGGTTAAGGCAAAGCTGACATGCCTGGAGGGAGGAGTGCTGGCAGACAGGGAAGGGGATAAAAGGCTGCTTCATCAGAGCAAGAAGGAATGAGTCTGCCCCAGCAGCAGTCACTGGGGGGAGGTGTTTCCTTGCTTGTTCTCTCAAAGACCAAAGCTTGGCTCAGCTCAYGTGGGGCTGGAGAGCAATGGAGCATGGTCCATTAAACTCTTAACCACAGGGCAAAACCAGTGCTCTGGAAAGACTGGGAAAAACATCAGAGGGAGCAAGGCTAAGTGTCCCTGCCCAGGCTTCGTGGGATGCCTGAGAAATTTTGGGTTTGGTAGGGCAAGCCAGTCTTAGCAGCACTGGCCAAAMGATCTTMCYGGSCTCCYRCCAAGCCCCTGCCCCAGCCCAACTRGCCCACCTTGCAGAGCCCTCTCCAGCCATCCCTAAACCTGCAGYACAACCCCACCAGGCCTCTCTGGACATGGCTGCTGTAGCTCYACCAGGTTAGGAGAGACTAATTGTCACCCTTGGGTGAGGGAGAGCACTGCCTGGGCAGCCTTTGGGACAACATACTGCAGGGACAGTGTCCTGCACCAGCACATGGTGAAAGGGACACAGGACAGGCAAGGGCATGCTCTGGAAATGGGGAGCAGAGGACTGCTGGGTWCCCAGTTTCACAGTACCCAGCTGGGACTTATGGATGTCCCACATGGGGATGTGAGGCAGCCCAGGGGCCACCACACACTGCCGAGCCCTTCAGATGGCAGCTCAGCAGCTGCCTTTTATCACCCACTGCCCCTTTCTTTTAGAAGAGGCTGGTTCTCCCTTAACCATACCTCACAASCCCCAAAATCCCCCATACAMGAGYAAAACCAGTCCAAGTGAGGCATGAGACACATCTCTGACCTTCAGGTCAGCCCAGGGTCATCTGGCAGTGCTACCAGACATGGCCACCAAGCTCCAGAGGGGCTGAAGGTATTCAGAGGTGCTGCCCCCACAAAAGCCAGGCAGTGAGACTGCTGAAAAGGCCATGTTGGTATGGCCACATACCCAGCACCACCTTACAGGTCCTCACTGGAGGGTGTAACAGCAACCCCACGCCTGTGATGGAAGGGGAGTCAGGCACAGAATGGGGTGCTGTTGAAAGGCTGACAATTGGAGGTGCAGAGAGTCGGGGAGATATTCCACATCATTCTCCCAGCTGCAAGAAGCATCGTGCACCACCTGCCAGCCAAGACCAGGCTGCTCGGACCTGAACAGCAACTGCAGGAGGAGGCAATCCCAGCCCAGGTGTAACACTCAGGCCACACTCAAGCTGCCACTGCCTTTCCTTGGGATGGACACCACAGTGATCCTAAAGCMGCTGCTGAACGCTCTTCCTTCCTTACCGCCTTTGAGGTGAAGATCCTGACACCAACATCTCCCAGGACCCCCTTCCCAGTCCCTCCCAGCGACACTGAGCCTGGCAAATACCTTACGGCAAGTAATTTTACGTTATTCTGCATTTACACAAAAATAGAGCAATTCTATATTTATAGAGATTTATAGCCGGCTCCGTGCTGGAGGAGTTATTGAGCGAGGCCGGGAGCTGAGGGTGGTCCGGGCTCCCGAGCGACCGGCTGCTTCTCGTTCGGCAATTCGAACATACAAAATTAAAGGCATTCATCTCCGTCTGGTTTCTTAAATAGATAAGGGGGGAAYGAGTGGACAGTATGTACAGAGGGGCCGTGGCAGGGCCCGGCGGCCTCTGCCCGGGTCAGTGGGGCCGGCTGCTGGACTCTGAGGGCTGCCGCTGGCGCGGGGGAGTGTAGCCATTCAGGTACCCGTTGCTCTGGCGTTTGCTGAGTCCTCCGTTAAGAATGTCCTGGATGTGCTGCACTATCAGGTTTATGGCCACTGCGAGCAAAAGGGGAGAGACGGCGTTAGGATGGCTGCAGATCAACCAGAGCTGGTGCCCCTGCTGTCCCTCCCAATGCTGTCCCTTCCTGTCCCAACCTTGTGGGACCTCACCCCTCTGCCCCTCAGGCCATGGAATCAGGGTCAGGCCGATTGCAGGCACGTTTCCACCTGGCTGTGGCAGCTGCACAGTCCCCTCAGTGTGGGATGAACCAGGAGCCAGCCAGGAGGCACTGCACATAGGGGCTCTCAGGCCTGATCACAGAAACACAAACTCCCAGTCACCAACGCTCCAGGCTCATCCCTCCAACCCAACCACTGCAACAGCCACAGCCCAAAGCTGGCTGCCAGGGCAGAACAGCAGGGCCTGGGTYCTTACCTTCATTATCTGCTCCTCTGGGAATGATCACGTCAGCGTATTTCTTGGTCTGGGAGGAGAGAGAGCACCGTGTTACAGGGAAAGTGGACAGACACCAGGCTGGGGCATTGTCCCCGCTCCCTGTGGCAGGTCCTTGCCCTCTCCTTGCCAAACCCAAACCCACTGGGAGGTGGGTGTGTTATCAYTGCTGACAATACATTTTGAACGCTCTTGTGTCCTGCTCTGTGTTTCTGCCCTGACTCCATTTCCATGAGCTCATACAGAAGCCAGTAAGAGGCACCCTAACAAATCCTGCAATTAAGAAGCCTCATAATCACAAGACTCCAGCAGCTGATGCTCTTGGGAACATCCTTCCCCYGAATCCATCCAGACTTGCACGGGTTGGTGTGCCTGGGCACAGGCACAAGATCTGCCTGCAAAGCGGGGAGGACACCCTACAGCATCACTYGCAGAGAAGGTGTGATTCAGGACACCAGTCCTGACCTAGTTTCACCTGCAGGTGCCAGTCTCAGTTTCCTCCCCATTTGTGTCAGTTTTACAACTGACAGCCAAGCTCCACCAAGCCAGCTGGGTGACGGGTGTCACCCGACACCTCCAAGCACCTCCAGACATATCAAAAATCACCAGGACATGCTGGACCACTTCAATGCTGGACCACTTGGCCCAGAGATGGTTTAGGAGTCAAATAACAGCAACAGTGGATGCTGAGCCCGCAGCTGCTCTGCAGCTGAGCCARCCACCAGGCTGCAAGTGGGAGCAGACCTTGAAAAGCTGTGGATAGAAATAAGGCAGTTTTCTGCCCTCRTTTCACACTTTATTCTCCCACAGAYTCTTTATCAGGAGAGCCWGATGCAGCATCAGCTGCTTTGAAAAACTCTGGATTTATCTTGCTGGGGAYTTGCATAGAGGGGAGCCTTGCAAGCTGGATGTGCCTCTCAGGAAAAGCCTTTCTGAGCTTTGTAATTGGTCCCCAGAGCCCTGAGTGAGGCTGAGAAAAGGGAGCTGTGCAAGAGCCAGGAAAAGATCCTGTAGCAGAGAAAGAATCAAGCCCTCTTATGGCAAAGGGCAGAGCTGACCAGATAGACAGGCAAAGAGATGTTCCTAAGGTAGGATGCACAGGTTAATTCCTGCCTGTGGTGCTGACCAGCAGCTCCCAGGTTATAGGACTCTGCTGGTTCACTTGCTCCAGAAAAAAAAAAGAATCCTCATATAACCATCAYATCTGTTTGAAAAGCCTTAAGAACCAAGGTACAGGCTCTCCATGAGAGCAAAGAAAGGTGTACAATGGCTGATCCTGCAAATGTGCAATTTCCCCTGCAAATCTGCAGGACTGCAGTGGATCCTACACGCACAGTCCCTGTCTGCTGGGGAGCCTGCCTCTGTTACCGGCTCCCGAAGGGGCTTCCTTTCTCYAGGCAGGCCATGTCACCCTGGCCACTCACCAGCCAGGAAATGCAACCTGCAAGGCCACATCCCATTCACAGAGAGAAGGAAGAAGCTTTCCTGCTCTCATCAGCATAAAGCCAGCAGCATGCAGGGCAAAAAGGGCAGGCAGCACGGCCCAAAAGAGGAGGCAGCCACAGCAAACACTGCCTGGGGGCAGYGACCTTCCATTCCCTGGCTAAATACAGCCAAGGATCTTCCCTCCCAGGCTGAGCTGCCCAGTGGTTTGTCAGCCCCTGCACAGGGAGGGAATTCTCTGGCCATGCTGCCTTCCCGAAGGGAAGGGTGATCTCACCAGGAAGGCAGTGGCTGTGTAAATAATCCCCATCACACCCTGCCCTGGCCAGCACTGGCACCCCTGCCTTGGCCAGAACGCAGGGAGGGAGCAGGGCACGGAAGGCTGACCCAAGCTCTGGGCACAAAATGCTCCTGCCTGAGGAGCTGGGCAGGGCATGGGGCACGTTCAGGAGCCTCACGTGGSTGTCACTGCTCTGACTYACCGGCAAGCAGAACTCCTCRAAGGCAGGYTTGACGAAGGTGATGTACTGAGACAGGATCTGCTCCAGGTCCCTGCCTCGCTCACTGATGTCTCGTAGCACTGAGGGGGAGATGGAAGGCACAGTCAAGATCTCTCCACCCCTTCCCTTCAGTACAGCCTTCAGCCAATCCCCGGATATTTTGCCTGAGATCTCCATGGTGGAAGCTGCAGCCCATGTGTGTGAGCACATCCCAGCCCAGTTACACGCTTTTAACCTGCTTCCAAGTTTTTCTGGGAGCCAAGGGCTGGCTGACCTGACCAAGGGCTTTGYTTGGCCTCCTGCCCTTCTCAGCTCTGCTTGCATATTCCAGCTGTAACCAGTGCCAGCCCAGTGCTGAGTGTTCCCAGCCTCGACTTTACCTGCCTCCTGTCACTCAGTCCTGCCCAACGGGGCATTCTCTCACTCATCCCAGTGCAGAGGTGCTCCAAGAACAGAAAAGCAGTGGGGTTCACCCACACACACACTAAGGCACGGTTTAACTCATGTCTGCACAAGTGAGGAGAGTAAAACTCACCCACCAGCCCAGCTCTGCCAGGCCCCTTGTGCTGTCCCCAGGCGAGGTGGCCCAGAGGCTGAGGGGGTGCTTGGGGCAGCTCAGCTCAGGAGAAACCCAAAGGCAGGAGAGCAAACTGGCCTCTTGCTTCTTCTGCCATTCAGGCCTTTCACCCTGTTTGCATGAGCTATTTGGGCCAGTGCCATCTCCAGTCTGAAGYCACTTCAGCGTGGACAAGTGCCCCAGTTCAGCAGGAATTCAATCCCGTGGGGAAGAGCCAAAACAGCCCTGYAGCCGAGCAGACGGCTCTTGGCTGTCCCCAAGGGGCTGCTGGCTTTGCCCCAGCATGTGAGTGCCTGGCACTGGRTTTGGAATGAGCCTTCCCCCATGTGCCGGGCAGAGCCAAGGCACAGCACTGCCAGCCTGCRTGACCTGCTCGGCAGCCCCTGCCCGTGTGTTCTCAGGGCCAGGACACTGCTGGTCTGGCACTGTCCCCACGGCTCTGTTTGCCCTCRGCCAGCAGCTTCACAGCGTGGCCTTTCACAGCCCTGCATGGGGGAAGTGATGGGGGAAAAGGACTGGCAGCAGGAGAGGTGCCAGCTCCCTGCCTGCTCCAGAAACCAGGCTGCTCGAGCCAGCCTCTCCGGAGAGCAGGAGCAAGCCCCAGCTCAAACAACAGAGACACAGGCAGGGAAAATCAAACTCTTGTTTGCTATGCCCACACYCTATTTGTCGCCACTCTGGGGTGCAGGAGGCCTGTGGGCCATGCAGGGACTGGTCCTGACAGGGCAAAGCTCTCCTGCCTGGTCCCAGGGCACACCACAGCAGGGCAATCGCCCCACACACAAACACAAGTCAAACACCCCCTGATTTGTACTTGGCCCCAAAGCAGCAGGTCCCAATGGCCCAGGCTAAGATCACACACCCTATCCAGAGGGAWTGCTTGCAGGGCAGGCAAATATCCCAAGGACAGATCGGCACCCCTTTGAAACCAGCAGGCAGACATGACTTAAACTGGACCCAAAACATGCACGTGACACTGGACCTGGTCTCTGTTTTAGGGAAACCGGCCAAGGACAGGGCAGCGAGTGACCTTAGTCAGAACCAGGTCCCTGATCCCCACGGAGCCCTGTTTGAGGTACCTGGCAGACCTTGCCCCTTGCACTCTGCCAGCAGCATTTCTGGGGAGAGGTACCGAGATGGGGACAGTGTGAGCTGCACTTACTGAACACCAGCACCACTGATTAACTGAGCTGTCAGCTGCGTTTCCAGGAACCTCATCTCCTGCTGYTGCCCAGCTGAAAACCCAGTTACTGCAACCCTTCAGGACTTCTGGGACACAAAGATGACTCAGGACCACATCACTACTCAAGATCCCAACTTTTGCTGTGAGCTGCCTCCAGCTACGTTCCASGGACATGATTATACCTTTGGCACCCAGGCTATCCTTTCCCAGAAATGACAGGCAGACACACAGTAAACAGATTTGATGCTGCAGTGGTCATACCAGCTGCTGATGGCAGGGRAATGGCCAGATTCCTACCAGGAGAATGAGGAGTTGCAGCAACTAGGAGACACCAGCACCTCAATCCGCAAAGCTGCCCTTTTTGAAGTGATTGATAGTGGCTGGGAGATATACAAGCCTTACAAGCAGAAGCATGAGTGCAGCAGTGACCCACTAACTCCACACGAACTTCTGCTGTCCTGAATGACCACCAGAACAGATGGAACTCAAAGTCAAGGGCTAAATTAACATAGTGGACACTTGGGGGATGTGTTACAGGGATGATCCATAAAACACAGGATTGATATTTGTGTGTTACATCAGAGGACAGGACAAGAGGTGGTAGGTAATGAGAACATATTGGACAGTGTGGGACCTGGGCATGATGTGAGTGGTTTGGAATAAGGGGTGGAAAATGCACTGGYTTTGGCTGGGATAGAGTTAATTTTCTTCAAAGTGGCTGGTATGGGGCTGTGTTTTGGATTTGTGCTAAAAACAGCGCTGATAACACAGGGATGTTTTTGTTATTGCTGAGCAGTGCTTACACAGATCCAAGGCCTTTGCTGCTCCTCACCCCACCCCACCAGAGGGGGAGGGGACACAGCTGGGACAGCTGACCCCAGCTGACCCAAGGGATGCTCCATACCATATACATGATATAAAGATGGGGTAAGAAGGAGGAAGGTGAGACATTCGAAGTGATGACATTTGTCTTYCCACATAACCGTTACACACRACGGAGCCCTGCTTTCCTGAGCAYGGMTGAACACCTGCCTGAACACCASGGGAAGTGGTGATGAATTCCTCATTTTGCTTGGCTTGTGGCTTTTGCTTTACTTATCAAACTGTCTTGGTCTCTACCCACAAGTTTTCTCACTCTTACCCTCCTGATTCTCTCCCACCAGGGSAGGTTGAGCAAGGAGCTGCGTGGGGATGAGCTGCTGGCTGGGGTCACACCACAACACTGTCCTACCCTCGTGGCTGGGTGTSGCTCTGAGCTCCTGCACAGCACAGTGTAAGGGATTAGGGCTCACATTTTGGGATCCTGCAAGTGCAGATCTGTGACCTGSTAATACATCTCCCTGCAATGACTGCGCTGTCACCTCCCTGTGTGAGTCATGCAAGAGCAGTGGGCAGGGTCAAGAGGGATTCGTAAAAAGGAGCTGTTAATCAGAGCTGATGACACCCCAGCAGCTGAGGAGGCTCTGTATGTATCTGACAGCAGGAGGGCAGGCAAGACCAGCTCCACTGCACAGTGGAACAGTCCCAKGCACACAACAGTCCCAGAGTGACGCACTGAGACGCGCTCCCCTCGTCACAGCACAGAGTTCTGGAAGGAACTGCTSCTCTAAATCATCTTCTGCACCCCCAGGCGTCCAGTCAGAGCCAGGCAGGGTTAGGGATAGTTCAGACAGAAGTGAATTCTGCCCCAAGAGTCCCCAAATGTTTTTTCAGTCACCCAGGAGATGCTACATCAGTGACCCCACTCCTAAAGGCTGCTTTGAAATGAAGGGCACCTCAAGTCACCACAGGCCCTGCAGGGCTGCAGTCYCTCCTGTGGCAGCTGGCAGCCCACAGCCAAGCCAGCAGGACATGAGGAATCCTAAAGAGGGATGCTCTGGTTTCCAGGGCTCTTTGCCCCAAAACCCTCCAGTGCCAGGTACCACATAAATGCTCCATGCTGGGTTGAGATGCACAACCAGACTTCCTACATACACCACCCTTATGCCCAAATGCCATCATCAGAGCACACCCACAGCCCCTGAGTGCATCCATCAGGCTCTGCCTTCTGCCTGGACTGCCCAGATGCTCTGCCTTGCCCACTGCACCCTTCCCCGCTGGCATCTGCTGACTGGCAGCAGTCGCTGCTCAGCTGCTGGCACTGGGCTGGTGCCACGGGGCCATGTGAGGACACGGCACGCTCAGTAGTCACACTGCTGCCTACATCAAAGCAGGAATCCCAGCCAAAGCAGCAAAAATCCCACTGAATCCCAAGAGACAYGCGGCGAGGTGCTCTCCTGCCGCCACAAGCTGCCCTAGTGACACTCTGCACTGCAGGGGAAAAGCTGCCCGGCTCTTCGCAGCTTTGTGCCAACTCCAGCTCTGCTCTGGTCACTGTCCCCTGCCTCTCTCTGTGAGCAGCTGCCCAGATCAGTCACGGGCTGTTTGTGTGGCTGCCTCACCTCTGCGGGACAGCCGGGTGTCTGCGTCCGTGTCCACGAAGAGCTTCATGCGGAAGAGATCCCGCACCTCCTGGCTGTAGAAGGCCAGAATGCCTTCGAAGAGCACCACGTCGGCAGGGTACACGGTCACGGTCTCCTCTTTCCTGCCGGGGGGAGGGACTGTCAAAATGTGCGGGGGAACAGGTGGGGAGCAAAAGAGAGGTTGGGAGGGGGRACAGCGGTGCTCCTAAGCACTGCTCCAACCCTGGGACACCACTGCTGCACCAGGGGGGCGACCGAGGAGGGGGCAGACCTACCCCACCGCCGTGAAGGGAATCCAAGGCATACGTACGCTTCCTGGAAGGATAAACAGCAAAGCRGGAAGCACACGAGCCCTTCTCCCCCCACCTTGGACAGCTGCTGCTCACAAGTGTTATGTGCCAAGCCAGAAAGCCCAGGAAAGCCTCTGCATGGGAATCGATGTGGCCAGCTGTGCTTCCCTGGGAAGCAGGCAGCACTTCCCTGACAGCACAGCGCTTTTGTGGGAATAGGAGCAGAGTCGCATCATCCACGACCAACACGGGCATGCAGAAACAAGCTGAACGCATGCAAGGGGAATGTTAGAGGAGCAAGCACTGCTGTCCTYCTCCTTTCCTGGCAGTGCCAGGGTGTCTGAGCCTGGAGTACTTGCTAAAGCTGCARACTCCGAGTTTATGGGGACAGGAGGCGTGGACAGGGAAAGAGAAGGGGAGTCATAACTCCCCTGCACTGGCGCCTGCATGTTGCAGGATGTCTGCATGGCTATGCAGCTTTCCAGACCCTCAGCCTGTGCCTGTATCTGCCTGGGATGCTCTAACCCAGGGGCTGGAGGAGTTAGGATGGAAACTTTGTGCTGGCAGGTTAGGCACCCAAGCAGGGGCGGGAGCTGGGCGAGGGCAGGGCTGGTGCGGCCCATGGGGYGTTAGCAGAGGCACGGCAAGGCAGGAGCAGCTGTTAGACCTGGAGTGGGAGACAAAGTCATAGACAGGAATCTGGACCGTCTTCCCTTCTGTGATCTCTTTGAGCGTTTTCACGATCAGCTCGTTGTCAAAGGCATCTGAGGAGAGAGGAAACGTTACCCGAGGCAGCTTTGMAACCTTTCCCACCCACCAAACGTTGAGCTTCGCCCAAGCCAGAGCTGCTGGCACCTCGCACCGGGGACACACAGACACGGGAGGAAAGCCCTGCACCTCCCCGGGGGCGAGGCAAGGCCTGGCTGTCCCGGAGCCACGGGGCTGGGTGGATCTGCACCAGCCTGGGATGTGGCTCTCAGAGATCAATACTGTCCTTGTAGGGCAGCCCTGACAGCCCGGGCACGGGAAAGCATCTCCTCCAGGGCTCCAGCCCCTGCAGAGACTGCAGCAGTGTTCCAGCATTGAGCTGCCGCACAGACAGGGCTCTGTTTGCTCAGTGCTCACTGCCTCTGGCCATTGTCCTCGTGGGGACGAAGGGACAGCAGCTCTGGAATTTCCCCATGGAGCCCAGAGATGGCTCAAAGAGCCCCTGTTGTAGGGACAGGGCAGGGTCCCCTCGGTGGAAGGGTTTGCCAAGCAGCTGCACAGCTGGTTCTTTCCTTGAATGAGAACACAGAGCTGCTGGCTCCAAGGACTCTGCCAGGCCAGATCTCTCTGGGCCTGACTCAGCTGCACCAAAAACCAATCTGTTCCTCTGCAGCCTGCTCTTGTGAAGGGTATTGGAACAAGATGACCTTTAAGGTCCCTTCTAACCCAAACTATTTGACGGTTCTATGAAAAAGGTGTTCAAACTGGGGGATGTTTTTGCAGGAAGAAGATCTTAAGGAGTTTGAGGGTTCATAACCTGCTCTTTCTCATCCCAGACAATGCACCCCATTTCTTCTCCAAGAGACACAGAGCAGGGGACACAGGTGCTCCTCAGCCACCCTGCTAGGGATGAAGCCACTCCTCCAGAGCTTACTTAAGGCACCCACTCCCATCCCATGTGGATTCAGAGCCCCAATGTCCATGCAGGCTCTTTGCTGCYGCAGCTGGGGGTCCCACTCCAACCCTCACACCACAGTGCATGGCAGAGCCCCAGTGMTGTTCTCCATTCACCTGGGTGGTCAAAATTGAACTGGCCTTTGAGTGCTTTGGATTTCTGCTCKGAGGTGAGGACCCGGTAGAAGCTGTCTTGGCTCACAATCACCACCTGCTTCTGGCGATAGTCCACCTCGTTCTGGCCCAGCAGCTGGACGATCTTGGAGCACACTGACGACTGGGAAAGGAACAGCAAAGGAAGCACATCAGCAGCTGGCASAGGGAGGATGTCCCCAGGTAACACCCACTCCTGCTTGCTGGACCTCCAGCCAGGAGTCTGTGGTTTTCCCAAAGGCACAGCCCAAAGCCACTGAGGGAAAAGTGCTCCAGAGGCATCACCATGGTACCCTTTAGTGTGACAGCAACACTAAGTTTGCTGCCTGCCACCCTCTCCTCCGCCCCTGTGGCCTGCCCACAGTTCCTATTCTGGGCATAAGTGGCAGCAGGGAACAGTTGGCTCCTGCTGGGGTTCAGCCACATGCCCAGGGGCCCCAATCACACCAGCCAGCCAGGCAGCTCCCCAAGGAGCAGAGCTGCRTGGGGCACCAGGGCTGAACCTCCTCCCTGAGAAAGCAGCACTGGCTCCTCAGCCCTAATGCAGCCCAGAACCCCACTGCAATATGAGAGAATCCTCAGAGGGAGAGCAAACAAAGCCCAGGATGAGAAGGCACGAGGAAGAGAGCCTTGGGACTTAATCAGGGATCTCTGCCACAGCTGCCAGGGCTGGGAGGAGCGAGCACATCCTGGTGCCTGTTGGCACAGCGAGGCTCAGGGCACTGCAGAGTCAGCGGCTCAGGAGCCACGTGGCCCTGGCTGCCGAGCGCTGCTGGCACAGGGACCGGGCACCTCACACTGCACATGGAGCAGAGGGTGGCTGGCACCAACCCTGCTGGCACYAGGGCAGGCACTGGCTGTGTGGCTGCCATTGCGACATGACCCAGAGCACAGCTTGGGGGACAATTCCCAAAGCCTGCCCCAGTCCCTTCTCCTYAGCCATGAGAGTCCTTGGCTGCTGTGCAATGCACTGGTGGTAAATGCATCGCTGCCTGGCAGCCAGCACTGCCCTGGCCAGTGAGAGTCAAGGTCAGGYTCTGCTCCTGCCCCTTGGCACCCAGTGCTTGGGGCAAAGGAGGTGTTCCTGTGCAAAGTGAGCTGCTTCCCCTCATGGGAATCACACTGGCTGCAAATGCCCAGCCGAGCTGCTCCTGGCCCCAGTCGCCAAAAATGCTGAGCCTCCTACCCTGCAAAGAGCAGTGTGCTTGCCCCAGCCTGCCTACCCCAGCCTGCCAGTGGCTCATTCCACACTCCCACCTCCTGGAGCCAAATAGGCTCCATGCCTGGCTGGCAACCTGCAGCCACAGAGCTGAAAACAGCGCTGGTGAGAGGTAACAGGGAGGGGAGTGCGTGCCTGGCAGAGGAGGTCACCCCGGCAGGCAGAGGGCAAGGCTGTTTGCCTGAGAAGCTGGAAGAACTGACAGCATTCCCGTCTCCAGAGACTGTCTCTTCCCTCCAGGCCAGGCTGACCTGACTTGGCTGCGACCACTGGGCTGTGACTCAGCCCCAGCCTAGCTGGAGAGACTCAYACACAGCTCTGCTGCGGAGAGAACCGGCTCTGGCTGTACCACAGCGGTCTGGGCAGCCCTGGGCACAAATTCAGGCTTCAGGTCAGGGATGGGGTCTTCTGAGCATGCCACCTTCTTCTCCTGCCTCTCCYAGCTGGCAATTTGTGCTTCCAGAGCCACACTGGCAGCACTGCCTGGCAGCAAGCTGCTCCCACCCAGAACAAAGCCCTGCAAGTCCGTGCCAGTCACTYGCCCTTCGGCACACACTGACAAAGCCGGAGTCTGCTCTCCGTTTCCTCTGTTTTCTCTCTCCCCACATCCTTYTCTGGCCTGCATCAACCCTACGGCTTATCCAGCTGTATCCCATAGGTYTTGCAAAACCAGGGTGTGTTCGGTGCCTCTCTTCACTTTTCCTGTCCACTCTCTCCCCCAGTCCCTGCTGCTTTCCCGTGCAGCACCGGGACACAGTGCAGCGGAGTTCAGCCTTGGCCACAGGTGCTGAGCACACCAAACTTCCCAGGCCTTTTGCCATTAGGAATAAACCAGCTTTCAGCACAGCCACCCAGACAAATCCCCAGATTCCATGTGGATCTACACCAGAAACTGCTTTCCCCAGCCCAGGGGAGGGAGCAGGGCTCCAAGCAACACGTGGATTTGCATTCACTCTCTCCCCATGGATCTCAGCACGTGGATGGGCAACAAAATCATTTCAGARCATCAGCCAAACAGTGCCAGTCTTTCTTCTAACTTATGCACACTGATCTTATGCAGAAGAGTCTCTATCAGCTCTGAAAATCATCCTCCACATGTCCCACAACTTGAGACACCCGACGGTGAGAAAAACCCAAGGAGAAAGTATCCCTTGRCAGCAGGAAACAGATTGTATCCCAGCTGCATTTGCCATCCAGGGCTCTGGGGTGGATGGTGCCTCTTGGAAAAAGCAGCCTGGCAGACACTATGGACCCTTCCCCTTTCCCTGGTGGGCTCTGGAGGGGACRCAGAAGTGCTAGGAAAAGACAACCACAAGGACATCCTGCTCTCAGTTTCAGCACACCATAGTGCCTGGGTGAGCAGGGATGTCACCTCCAGCCTCTGGGAAGAGGCACGCACGTCACCTTGGTCCTGCAGGTGTGGGCCAGGCACTGCTCACATATTAGCTGCATTAAGTGCAGCAGAACATAGGGTCAGGGCATGTTCCTCCACCCCAGTGCTGTGTTCAGCTTGCCTTAGTAGGGCAGCAAACCTCAGTGAGCTCCAAGTGAAGGTGTTTCCCTTTCTCACCACCATTTGTGATAGGAACAACAATGTCTCACACGGGGCAGACACTGATCCCAGCCTGAACAACTCCTACAGCTGGACCGGCCCTTATCCCCTTTGGTTGATAAACAYCCACTGTTAAGGAGGAAGAAAAACCAGAAACAGAGAGCTTGGAAACTCCCCTACACAATGGGAACAGAAACTCCTGGCCTCAGGAAGAGTCCCCCCAAATAAATGACATATCCCTAAACCAGCGCAGCATGCATGTGTGACTGTSAAAGTTCCACCAGTAACTGGAAATTACCACAGCCAAGCTTTGGGGAGACCCAGGATGCCCAGTAAGAGCAAGAATAGAACATGACTCCAAAGCACTGTGCCAGTGTGCATCCAGCCTGGATGCAGGGGACACATGCTGACAACATGCACTTAGCACCCACTTGAAGGGGCAGCCTGGGCTCAGATTCCTTCCTTTGCCAATTCCTAAYTGCTTCTCCCAGGGACAAAGAAAACAATTGTTTCTCCTCCAAGGAGCCCAGGAGTAAAGAGGATGACTTGAGAAAGGTGATGTGATCTCAGTGCACAAGCCCTAGGATCTGAGCCCCATCACCAGCTGTGCCTTACAGGATTCATCAAACACCGGTGATTCAGCTGCAGCAGACTCCCAGCAACAGGATGCTTTCTCAAGCAAAAGCTTTCCCCTCCTCCAGAACTTGGTTAAAACTAAATATAGCCAGGACCCAGCAGCCTSCGAGCCTCCCTGGTTGCCAAGCAGACCTTTCCCATGGTAGCCACACGGCACGGCTGCAAGACTTTCCAAGAATGCGGGCAGGGAGGGACCCCGGCTCCTGCCATCGGTCATGACTTCCCACACACTGCAGCGAGGGGAACTCGGCCCCAGGTAGGAGCAAACCCCCGGAGCTRCCCTCCCCCAGGCTTTGTGCTCGAGCTGCTCCTGGGAAAGCTGTGCAAACCAACCCACACCTCACCCAGATCCTGGGGAGGGAGGCATCAGCACAGCACCACGAGCGAGAGCTCCGAGAGGTTATTCCTGAACAGAAGCAGCTGCAGCTCCCCTTGCAGGACTCCTCCTCTGAACCAAGCACACAAACAGCCAGTGTTCAAGGAAGAAGCACAGCTTTATTCTGCTGGGAAGGGAAGATTCAGAGGGCACCTGGGGAAGAAATCCAACATGTTTTCCCAAAAGGAGAGAGGTGGAACACAGGGGAAGAAACTCCACAGACGGGTGTTTGGAGGCCTACCTCTGACATTTATTTGGAATATATTAATTACATTTAATTCATATTCACTCATGGCTTATAGCCAGCTGCTCAGATATTCTTCAGGAGTTGACTAATTCCCCAACATTATTATGCAGATTATCCCACAATCCCTCTTGGGTAGCTCTGATCAGCCAGYGAATTATGACTTCCGATGGGTATTAAGGAGAAAGCTGATGGACTGTGCCACACTCAACCATCCTGAACCACCATGAGAAGGGGCCAGGCAGGACACAGCTGATGCCTCCAGCCCCAGGCTTGCTGTGGCAGTGTTTCTGCCCCTGGAGAGGGTAAGGCCTGTCCTGGGTTAGCAGGAACTCCTAAGCCCTGTGCAGGTGAGGATGCTAAAACCCACATGCTGAGAGCAGTCTGTCCATCCCCAGGGGCACTACAGGGGGATGTCCAAGTTCCCATTCCAGYTGCAGGGACAACCTCTCATCTTCTTAGGGACTCCAGATAGGACACCCAGCAGAAGTGACTTACCCAGAAAAAAGAAAGCCCCAAAGAAACACTGAAGCTGCCAGATCCCTCAGGAGGAGGAAAAGGGTTGTGCAAAATGAGAGGCATGTGCTGGGCTCCAGTATGGAAGGAGGAGAGGCACAGTCTCCTGCCACTGCTGCAGGCTGCTCACCCCAAGCCAAGCCGCTTCTCATGAGGACAGTCCTCTCCAACAGAGCAATGCCCTTGGCCCACAGCACAGCCAGGAGCAAGGACAGACWGCAGCAGTCACATCCCACCGGGAGAGGAGCCCAGAGGTTATCTCCAGGGACACCACTGCCATAACGCCCTTCCTGCAGGATCTGGATGCGAGCAGGCTTGGCAAAGGCTAGAAATGGCTTTGCACCCGCAGCAGCCTTGTTGGAGTGTCCTCATCACACCTTTGTGGATAAAACAGTCTCCAGTTTTGTGGTCTGACAGGATTTTCCCTCAGATCAAGCATAAGGAACCACTGTAATTATTTGTTTCATTTCTCTGCTGTCCTCTATAGCACRCTGCCCTTATCTCCTGCAGCACATGAGTTACAGATGTTGGTCTCTTCTCGAAGGTTATGGCAATTATAGTGTACCARGAAGAGCTTGGACTGGGATGACACACTCAATAAAAGACACCAAACTGGGAAGGGTCTCAAGGGTATCAGTCAAATGTCTGCCTGTGACTGCAGAGAGCCAGTTCATGACCCACACTGTCCTTTCCAGTCTGAATGGAGCACATACGTACAGCAACTCCCCGACTGGAAACTTACTATTCTCGTACCAAAATCCTGGGCCTCCACCCAGAGCATTCTCAGGCAAGTTCACCATCCCTGCCTCTCCCTCTGTGAGCCACAGGCCAACCAGCGCAGGAGGGGATAGCCAGGTTTCTATTCACTCACCCTGGGATACTGTGCATGTGATCAGCAATCCCGGGCTGGAGCATAAACAGGCACACACAGAGGCTCCAAACACAGATTACGTGCAGGGAGGAAAACAAGCCCTCTAAAACAATCCCTCCCAATCCTCTGATTTTAGGGACAGGATATTTTTCTCAAGCCCCTGCTGCAAACTCCATAGCCCAGAGCTGGCTGAGCCCACRGGACTGTGGTAAGCAGGCTCCATAACGAGCACATATTCCATCAGTAACAGGAAAGGGCTGAGCCATCAAAATRTTCTGTGGATCAGTCTGATCGGGGCTGGCACAGAACAACGTTCTACTAGAAAGTTTGACGAGTCTCTAGCACACGTTGACACCAGTGTTTAACAAGTCAGACCTTGTGATGCAGGGTTCCTGCCAGCCACGAACGAACGTCACCAGGAAATGGTGCTGAACCGGCACAGGGCTGCTGCAATTCCTGTTAGGCCCCCTCCTGCGGGGAGTCATTCCCAGATCTCCCCTGGGCTTCTCTGCCAGCTTCCAGGTGGTGATATCATGGCAGTGACCCCCAGACCCCCCTTGCTGGGGTAGAGGACTGAGCTCTGTCACAAAAGAAGTTCCATTCAGAGATGGAAGTGCTTCATGAAGCTCAGGCCGCTCCTTCCCTGRGGGCCAACACTGGCTGTCCCACCCTGGCTGGGCAATTCCACTCACTCTTCCAGCCTCAGGCAGCCCTCCCAGTGTCAAAGTGCCTACTGGAGTTAAGTGAAAAGCACACCTGGCTGAACACAGGCTGCAATCTTGGTGCTCTGCAGGCTGGAAACTCTGAGGCTGCATGTTCAAACAGACATTGGGAACTTGATGTGCTAACTCAAGACCCAAATGATGCAACTACAGAGCTTCAGCGGCACCCAGATTCAGCCCTCACTATAATTTGAGGGATGAGCAGCCAACCAAAGCAAGCAGCCCTTTAAAAACTTGTCTTCTCTCACAAGCTCCTCTTGGAAGGGAGCAATCAGCACCTCACTTCACATGGGGACAATTAAAGCTTCAGCCTGAGCTCTTTGAGCTCTTCCCACCCCTGCAGCCACCCCAGCACCAGATGCTGCCAGGAACGAGCTGCTCCAGCACTGCTGGCAGAGCTGCAAGGTCCCAGCAGCTAAGCYGAAGTGAGGACACCGGAAGAGCTTAAGGAGGTGAGGAGGTATCCCAATGTTTCCTAGCTCATCTCAGAATKCTGCTGAACTTTCCTCCAGCCTGCAGCCTGGGTCTGCCTGCCTTGTACGCTGCAGAGTCCTTGGTAGTCGGGGATCTCTTGCAGGAGCAAGGGAAGAAGTGGCTAGCACAAAGGCCATGGGAGTAAGAGGGAAACAAGAACTCTAGCAAGAGCACTTGAGAGCAGATAGAATGAACCAGCCTGGTAATCCCTCTGAAGAAATAAGGCAGTTGCAGTCCTCTTCAGGTTTGATACAGGATGGGGGTCTTAATGCCAAGTCATTTCCACCCATTGAAACGGCAGCAAGCCTTGTCCAGGCTACACAGTGCCTGGATTTCAGAGGACAGCAAGCTTTTGGGAAGAGCCTGTCCCAGCTGAGCTGACTCAAAACAGCCACTGTGCCGCTGGCACTGCCCTTGCGGAGGCTGCGGCATCTCAGTCTGCCCAGGACCKCTGCGGCTCCCCAGTTTTGTTCCCAACAGAACAGTCCAGATTTCTTTCCAGATTCAAAAACCAGGAAAGCACTCAGAGTTCTACCCCCTATTTGAGTGGCCAAAGTTGCTCAAGCCTCTTTTGGTCACTATGGAAGAGTGCTCAGCCTTTGAACTYGGGTTCTCACAGATTTGCCTTTAAGGAACACCAGGCAAACCAACCCCAGGTCTTTAGGAAGGCTGGGTGCTTCCAACAGCAGCTTCCCCAGGGCACCACACGACACAAGTCAGCAAGCTACAAAACATGATCTTGTCCTTCCAGAGCCTGACCGTGCTGGTACACCAAGAGGGATGGAAGGGACTCTGGAGCCTGTTATCCCCATGYCAGACCCAAAAGCAGCAGTGGGAGGAGCTGGGGGGGAGCCTTGGAAGGCAAATTCCCTCCGTTATCTTTGGGCTGGTGTGCCGCCAAAGGGGCGTGCTGCGACAACAACCCTCAATTGGTGTCAAGGCGAGTCGGATGGATTTGTCGCTTTCCCAGTGGGAAAGGTGCCTGCTTTGCTTTCCTGCTAGCACTGTTTTCAGCCAGAGCTGGCACACTAGCACAGCAGCCCCTGGGCTGGATTTTGGCTGCAGGAGAGCCCTTAGCTAAGCAAACCACATCAGCCTCTGCTGCTTTCCCAAAACGTGCTGCAGCACAGGGCACTGTCACCAGCCAGTGGGGGGACAGCCCCCCACACCCCTGCCTTGCAGCTGCACCAAATGTCAATCTGAGGGGCTGTGGGCACAAGTCCCAGGTCCTTTTTTCCTGATGCTTGGGTTTTTTTGCCAGCATGTGTCTTGCGGTCTTTTCCCACCAAGTTTGTAGTGACCTGCTGGATTCCCTTCAACGGACAGCACTGCACAGARGTTTTTTAGCAGCCAGCAGTCACTGGAAGGGGGAAAATCAAAGCTGAGAGACAGGAAAAGCCAGTTAGTACATCTCCCTTGCTAGAAAGGACCATTTCCCTATTTTTTTCCTAAGGCAGCCTGCTGCTCTTAAGCATTTTCACTGTGAAGTTGAGAACCACTATGGTGTATTGTACTGTAATCACTGCTTTTACCTTGTGGGCCTGAGACACAGTGTTCAGAGACATAACAGTTCAGCAGCGCCAGACACGATGTTATTGGGACAACTACAGAGAGGCAGACCCACGCATCAGAGAACAGACAAACCCAGCGTGTTTGAGTCACCAGGAGCTGTACTGCAGGAACAATCCAGCTTTGGTTCCCACTGGAGTAGACTTATCCTCTCTCACCATCCCTCCCCCGTTATAGCTGGATTTTTCTCCCTTGCAGCAGCAACAGCAGTCCAACAATCAATAGGGTACTCAGAGGTATCCTTAAAACACTGGGCTGAGGTACAGCCATTGGGTTTACACCATCCTTCAGGTGAAAAAGGGATCCCCCTTCAAACACGGATCCAACGAGAGATCTGAGGCTCATCCTTCTCCTGTGCCAGCCTACATTCAGTTTCCTTAATTTAGAAATATTTCACAGGTATRGCTACTTCAAAATCTATTAATCCGCTCCAAAACGCTTCTTAAAAACACAGGTAGAACATGCTGCCCTGCATACAAGCGCTGATGAGCTGTAGAGCTGGTTTTACGGCTCTTAAATAAGAAGGAAAAAAAAAAAGGCAATTTTCGTGTTAAGAAAGTGACCTAGCGAGGTTAAACAAATACAGACAGACACACCGTATGAAACAACTAAAATAAATTGCTGAGAAGCCGCAGGGCTGCCCTGCGCTGCAGTTTGGGTGTAGCAGCCTGCCGGGAACACCCGCATTGCCCCGGCGGGTGRCTGCCCCGTCCCCGCAGCCCTCGCCCCGCTCCGCTCCCACCTGCCGCTGCCAAGGGCCAGCCCCTCCCGGCTCAGCAGCCAGGAGGTCGTTCTGCCGCCGTGAGTCAGCATTTGCTGCAGAATTCCCGCTCCTGCTACCCCCAAAGTTGGGCACAGAAGGGCACCCCCGTGCACGACCGACAACACTGGGGGGGCTAAAAATTAAAAAATTGCATCGCCCCCGAGGCGCCTGGCGGGGCGGGCAGCCCCCGGGGTCGGTGCAGGTGAAGGTGGACAGGGAAAGCACTGACCACAGCCACGAGAAAGATTCTGTAGGGGGGATGCCACCTATATCCCGGCCGAGCTGGGGCCACCCTTGCTCCGCGCAGCCCCAGCTCTATCGGCTGCCTCCCGCTTCTCGGCGATATAGAGGAACACAAGGTCCTGGTCGGAGAGAAGGAGCGAGTAATTCCCACACCCACCCCGCACCCCGCTCCACGTGTCCGCGGGGCTCCGGCCGCCGCCCGGGCAGAGGCCTCGGGGGCCGCGCTGCCTCGGCCGGCTCGTCCTTTCGCGGGCAGCCAGCGAGCCCGCCCGGCTCCATCCGCATGCCCGGCACCCACCCCGAGCCCGCGGCCCGGCACGGAGCAGCGCACGTGGCGGGGCGGCCGCTCGGACCCGCCGTGCTGCCATGTGGCCGCCGCGCCCGGCATGGGGGGCCACCCCACGGAGCTCCCCCGGCCCCAGCGGGGCTCCCCGCCGACCCCCCGCACCTTGCCGCTGGCCGTGCCGCCGCTGACCCCGATGAGAAAGGGCTCCCCGCCGCTGGGCTGCCCCTGCTCCTCCAGCCGCTGCTCGCTGTCCCCCGCCATCCTCCCCTGCTCGCCGCCGCGCCTCCTCCGCCTTCGCTCGCCGTGCGGGGCTGGATTTATCTGATGAGTCAAGGGCCTTCCTCCCCGCCTGGTTCACATCCCCGGCGCTGCGGCTCCCTGCCAGGTGCTGCCGCAGCTGCACATGCTCCGGCCCAGCCCGCCGGCGGGCGGCACTGCGGCCACATGGGCCCGCACCGCGTCGCCGCCCTCCGCCCGCCCGCGGACAAAGGCGCTGCGGCCGCACCGCGCTCCGTGCCCGCACCGACTGCCTGCGCCTCTCTGACCGGTCCACTTCATCCTACAGAGCCCTGGGACTACACCACTGCTGCGACCACCACACGGTGGGCCCCGGCAGAACCTCTGTTATTTGTCTCCCACGCTGGCCAAGAAGGCCAAGGGCATTCTGGCATGGATTAGCAACAGCGTGGCCAGCAGGACCAGGACAGTGGCTGTCCGCCTATGCTGGGCACTGGTGAGGCCACATCTCGAAAACTGGACTCAGCTTTGGGCCCCTCATGACCAGAAAGACATTGAGAGGCTGCAGCATATGCAAAGAAGGACAAGGGAGCTAAGAAAGGGTCTGAAGCACAAGGGTGGGGGGCCTCAGCCTGGAGAAAAGGAGGCTTAGGGGGAGCTTTATTACTCTCTACACCTGAAAAGAGATTGAGAGTTGGCCTTTTCCCTCTATGTAACAAGAGATAGGACAAGAGGAAATACCTTCAACTTATTCCAAGSTTTGAATGGGTAGATTGAATATTATGAAAAATTTCTTCACCCAAAGGATGGTTAGGTGTTGGAACAGACTACCCAGGGAAATGGTGGAGTTGCCATTCCTGGAAACAKTCAAGAACCATGCAGATGTGGCACTTGGGGACACTGTTTCATGGTGATCAGTGCTGGGTTAATGGTTGGTCTYGGTGGCCTTAGAGGTCTTTCCCAGCCTTAATGATTCTGGGATTCTCCCACCCAACCTGSGCCCTGTTCCTGTGAGCAAACTAAAATTATTGTTAACRACMCAAATTGAGGAATAAAAATTATGCTTAAGTCTTTGGCAAATGGGACCTGTCTGGGGAGAGCTATGGAGGCCAGGATTCAAAGTCAAAATGACCTCAACAAAATGGAAAAAGGATTGATAATATGTAGGGTGCAAGTCACGCAGACAAATGTGATAATGATCTGTGGCAATGTGAGATAGGAACCTGCTGGCTAGCTGGGCCTTTTACAGATAAAGATCTGGAGTAGAGTGGATCAAAGAGTTAATTGATGGTGCTGCTGTGCAAAAAGCAAACATCCCATTGGGGCATATAAACATCCACAGGTATCATGTTTTGAGAAAGGTGAGGCTTGGTGGAGAGACTCCAGTGGGGACTCGGGAACAGCGCAGGGTCTGGCTTTGTAGAGGGACTGCAGGAACTATCTGTGTTTAGTCTGGGGAAGATCTCTGCTGGSTGTAAGGCTGTGGGGACATGATAACCATTTTCAAATACATAAAAGACTGCCCCAAATAGAAAGGGCCTACGTTCTCTTACCCTTGGGGATTAAAAGAAAATATTGCCAGCTCAACACTGTAACACTTAATTAATTCAGGGACATTTTATAGGGGTGAAAATGGTTAAATTCTAGAAAAGGTTGTTTAGGGAGAGTAMGGACTTTCCACTTTTAAATCTGAGGATTAAAAAAAAAATTAAAAAGCAGTAGGCATGCTCCTGTATAGAAACTGTTTAGTAGAGCTGGTCCTGTGTTGGAGCAGGAGGCAGACCAAGCAATGCCCCAAGGTTGCTCCCAGCCCTCTTCAGAGGATTAGAACTTGCATTTAGGTTTTTAACTTCCCACTTCAATACAGCAAAACAGGTGTGGAGATGTTTGCCAGACAGGTCCCATGTCCCAGCCCTCATCACACAGGATGTGAGAGGACCTCCTGGGAAGCCAAGGCCCCTGTCTGCCCACTGCTTCCAATTCCTCTCCAGCRGTGCCATGGGAGCATGGCACTGCCTGTGGCTGCTGTCAGGGGAGGAAGTGCTATATGTGGATGAGAACTTCCTGCACGGATGAATTCCCGTGGATTCCCATGGCCCCATGCCAGTTTCCAAGCACTGACCATGGGCACAGGTCCTGTGCACCCCACTGGGAGCCAGGAGCTATTAACAGCTCTTCTTTCCTACTCCAACACTGACACAGCTGTATCTGAACAGCAAAACCCACTTAGTGAAACCTCCAGGTTATTTGGTTCTCCTCATGCTTGCTCTTACTGCTGCCCTGCTTTATGACAGTCCAAATCCTCTGCTGTGCTGCAGCTGCTTCAGGCTGTGCTGCCTGTCCTGAGCCTCTCCATAGATGCTCATYGTGGCATTTCACCTCCAGGTCCCCTTATTGCTGGACCTGTGGCAGGAGCAGGCACACCTGCAGGGGGAAGGATAAGTAAATGCTCCTTGATGGGCCCTGGAGGGATACGAGCTAAGGATGTCCAAGGCTTATTTATACAAAACACAAAGAGAACTTACAAAGATTAAGTTAACAGCTYATTGAAAACCAGGCCAGGGCTGTGGATTAGAAGTGAATAAAATCCAAGTCCCAGTTAGTTTAAGATGKCACCTTTCCTCCAAACTGAAATTTTTACATACCCTTTAACTGCCTGTTGGTCACTAACACACTGTGCAAAGCAACTGAATCTTTTGTTCACTTTAAGTTTGGAGACTTCAATATATAAAATCTGCTGGGATGGTGTGTCTCTCTAATCTGGTTCCAAGGTTGTCTCCATAAATATTACCACTTCTATATCTAGAAAGTTTGCAGAATACACCAGCCCCTAACTCGGGTAACCAGAGCTATGTATTATGCAAATACCTTCCTTTTTCTCATATCCCAGGCTGGTAGATCAAATCAGACTGCACCCAACTCTCATCTGTCCTTTACACGTTGATCAAAGCACAGAATGCTGTTTTGAAAAGGAAATGCCATTGAGGGTAATATGCCGTGTGTTGTGGGAAAAAAGGATCTGCTGATAAGGATCCTGGTGTGATTCAAAATGACAGGATGAAATTACAAAGAGCCCGTTGTCACCTCTACCTCCAGTTCAAAGCATGGACACTRGAGTGGAAAGAGATTCATGTCACTATCTCCTCCTGGCCTGGGTTTGCCAAAAGACCCCATTCAGTATCAATAACTGATACAATGTAAATAATTTCCCACAGCAGCGTRAGAGAAACTATTTCAAAATATTCTTTGATAGATGCTGATGCACCTCACAGCCAGGAAGGCCAGGGAGCTCTAAAGAGAGGGAGAGAGGGTGGAGGACAGCATACAGCACAGGGAAATTCATGAGGTGGCATAAAATAATAAAGAACYRCAGARTGGACTGGGTTGGAAGGGACCTTAAAGATCATYTCATTCCAACCCTCCTGCCATGGTCAGGGATACCTTCCACTAGACCAGGTTACTGCAAGCCCTGTCCAGCCTGGTCTTGATGCTTCCAGGGATGRGGCATCCACGGGTTCTCTGGGCAACCYGTGCCAGTGCCTCACCACCCTCACAGTAAAGAATTTCTTCCTTATATCATATGTCCTGCCATATCACCAAGCATTAATATTGCCCCGCTGCTCACCCCAAGCTGAAATATCCATCCTCATTTTCATCCCTGTCTGCCAGATGGCTCTCAGTCCCATGTCGCTGACATCCAGTTCTCAGTTCTGCCCTAGTGTTGCAGGACACGTGTCCCTGTGGCCAGACACGGTGCTGGGGCTTTTTTCCCGTGCATAGCTGCACCTCTCGGTGACGTCTGACTCAGCCACCTGCACACATGTGGCTCTCTAGTTTACTCGTGTGCCTGTCCCTGGGCTCGGAGAATTTGTTTGCTATCTGACCTCATGCCCTCGCTGCTTGCGCTGTCTTCTCCGAACTGCAGTTCCTCCCCCTCTTTCTGAATGGAGTGTTTAATTTAAGGGCGATGGGTTTTTTCCTTTCCCTGTTTTTCACTCAGCTCTGCCCAAATAATCCCACAGTGCATCACTATCACCGACAGCAAACTCCTCCGTTACGTAAGGAGAGGCACAAACCTGCCCTTCCCTGCCTGCCCTGTTTCCTTTTCTGTATTTCTGCTTTCTAGGTCTCCTCACCCCATTACAACCCTTGGATTTGGTCTAGTTCTGCTGTTCCAGGTGTAACCACTGGAGCCTCAATAAAAGYCAATTAGTCTCTCTGCCAAATCCTTGCCATTATTGCACTGTCCTCGTTAATGCACTTCTTAGTCTTCATCCCATCCGTAAATATTTTACACACACAGAGCAATGGGAGATTTAATTTGCTGTGAATCACAGAATGCTGCACTCCACTGCTGACTGTGCAAGGAGCATGTGGGACAGCAACAGCTGCTGGTAAAARGCAGGCAACAATATTCTGAAATATTTGATCCCAGAAACTGGGGACGCACTAACAGGACATTCTCTAATATCTCCTGGAGGGATGCACTGACAGGGTATTCATAGAATCATAGAATGGTTTGGCTTGAAAGAGACATTGACGATCATCTTGTTCCATCTCCCTCCTATGGGCAGGGACACCTTCCACTAGACCAGCTGCTCTGAAACCTCTCCAGGTTGAACACTTCCATTCACACCACTAGCAAATTAACCCAGGACCGAGTTTTAGGCTTCTCCAAGCCAACCTTTTTCCGAGGGTTATGTTAAGCGAAGCAAACACCTTGTGCATCTCCTCTGGTACATCGCAGCAAGGTGCAGCGAGAGCAGAAACACAAACTATAATAGCGTCAAACTGCATACACCAGGGGAGGCTTAGGTCGGACATTAAGATGGATTTCTTCATAGAAAAGATGATTACATATTGGAACGGGCTGTCCCTGGAGGTGTTTAAGGAAAGACTGGACATGCCACTGAGAAGTCCGGTCGATATCGTGGTGTTGGATCACAGACTGGACTCGGGATGACCGCGGAGGTCTTTTCCAACCTAATTGATTCTGTGAACCTCTCCGCGAGCCCTTCACCTGGCGCGGCACCACCACACGCAGGTGTGCGGGACTCCGGAGCGCTGGGACAGGAGCGGGATCCCCGCGCCCCGCAGCCATGACAGCAACCCTCCCTCAGCGCCTTTGGGCGGGCGGGAACCCCCGCCACGATTGACAGCCGCCTCACCCAATCAGAGCAGCGCTCGCCGCCAC